GGTTTTCTTTTTCTTTTTGTTTATCTACCTGGTGGGTGGGTCTGCCTTTGTTCTTGCCCCTTGTGTTCTGAGTATTTTCTGGTGGTACCCCCTGCTAGGTCCCCGTGAGTGTACACGTCCCGGGGGTTCAGCTCTTTGAAAGTTGTTTGGTAACTTTGGGTGCCGGTTAGCAGTACCCTGCCTGGGATTACCTGTGTGCGAGTCCTCTTATAGTAAACGCTCGGGACCCTGGGAAACCCCTGGGGGCGCGCGGGTCCGATGGATGTGACCCCAGAGTCCTCCCCTCGCTTCCAGCGAGTTTGAGGGTTGCTCTCACCCTTTGTCTCTGGGTGACTCCCTGTTTTGCCTCCGTCTGCTGCCTGTGGGGTCGGTGACACCTTCGACCCGGAGTCCTGCGAGTTTGGTTGCTTGTTGTGGCTTGGTTACCAGTTGTGCTGACAAAGCGGGTGCGGGCAGCAGGGGCGTTGCACTTGAGTCTTGGTGGTGGCAACGTTCTCGTGGTTTCCTCCCCGGGAACCCCAGGGCTGCCCCGTTGTAGTTTGTTTTGGGACTTAGGGGTGTTGGTTGCTTCGGTTCCATCCACACCCCCTTGTCTTTTCCCTGGATCACCCTTCCTGCCTGCATCCGGTTCCTTACCGTCTGTAGGTTCGGGGCGGGGTTTTGATGGTGTTGAGACTCTGGCAGTCTCGGGGAATTCCCCTTCCGGGGTAGTGACGGGGGCATTTGAGCCTGTTCCTCCAGCCGTGTTGTATGAGTCTGCCAGTGGGCTCCCTTCCTTAGTGTTTTCACAGCTGCCCCGGTTTTCTGGTACGACCGGGGCTTTGGGGGAACGGCTCGGCCCCGGGGCCTGTCGGGTAGGTTCCCGGGGCTGGGGAGGGGCTGACTTGGGGGGGCCTTGGCCCCGTTGGACCCCGTGGTTTTTTTTTTATCCCCCTCTAGGCGGGGCTTGTGGTTACGCGGAGTGGGGTCTTTCCTCCCCTCTCGCCGTACGTGCTGTTGGGCATCGGCCCCTCCCCGGGCTCGGTTCCTTGGTCTTTGAGTCGGTTGGTTCCGTCCTGTGGGTGGATGTTTCCTCCCACCCTTTTTTGGGACGGTGTTTTCGTCAAGTTTCCCCATTCGATGGGGTTCTACGTGACTTCTGATCTTGGGTGCGCCTGCGCCTTTGTGTGCCTTCGGGACTAGTGTTGGCTTCTGTGTTCTCGAGGGTTCGGGAAGATTTTTCGCTACTTCCCGTATTATTGGAACGTCTGTCGACTCCTCGTCCTTGTCGCCGTTTTGGGCTACTTGTGGCCCGGTTGGGCTACTTGTGAGCCGGTTGGGCTACTTGTGAGCCGGTTGGGCTACTTGTGAGCCGGTTGGGCTACTTGTGAGCCGGTTGGGCTACTTGTAGCCCTGTTGGGCTACTTGTCTCTCTGTTGGGCTACTTGTCGCCCTGTTGGGCTACTTGTCGCCCTGTTGGGCTCCTTGTCGCCTGGTTGGGTTCCTTTTTGGGCTCTTTGCTTCTTTGGCTGGTTTTATTCTTTCTGCTTAGTCTTTTGGCTACTTTTCTAGTGCAGTAGTCCTGGTTGGCGCCTTCCCGCAGAGAGGGTTGTGCGGTTCGGCCAGCGTGTCATGCGCATGCGCTGTGGAGTTTGTTTTGATCTGGGCGCTGTTTCAGTGCTGGTGTTTTGCACCCTTTTTGCTACGGTGCTTCGCCTTTCGTTTTTCTCCCTGGCTGCGGTATGTGCCCCTTCGCTCCGGGGGTGTCCTGGTTCTCAGTTGTGGGGAGGACACCGCGGTTTTCCCTGTGTCATGGGTGTGGACCGCCTCCTTCGCCTCTCCCTGCTCTCCTGCGAGTCCGGCAGGGTCCAGCTCTGGCGTCTTCACCTGGCGGAGCTCCCAGGTTCTTCTGGGCACGGTTGAGTCTTGTCAAGTTTGTGCCACCGTTCGCCAGGTGAGTTTCTGCGGTCTGGCGTCTTTTGGCCGGGCGCTGGATGCGGGGTTGTTTATATACCTGTCTTTATTTAGGTATATTTTTGTACGACTGAGACCGTTCGCACACCAGTGACTGTCCCTTTTTCAACCCTTCCTGTCCCCCTCATGTGCATGTCCAACCCATGCTGGAGTCATTCAGGGGACCCTCCTTTTTTCATGTTGTGAGGTGTGGGGGTTGTAGGGTTGGTTCTGTACTCACCTGGTAAGGCTCCTGGCTGTGCTTGCAGGGTTTGAGCTCTGGCTCTTGGGTTCCGCCTATCTGATAGAACTTGCGGGATAGTACCAGTGGAGTGCAGTGGTGCTATTGGCACAATTGGGGAACACTGTATTACCATCAGAGGTCTGTGCTTGTTACACGACCTACTTGCGAGCATAAGCCTTCTTGCTGGTTCGTCCGTGGACTTCCAGGGCACACTAGCCTGTTTTCGTATAGCAGTTCCGGCCCATCCTGGTTGTAGGGGTATGTGGGCCGGCGGGCTGCTCCTAGCAGCTGCCTGGTGGGCCACCCTCTGGCCGGTCTAGCCTGGCCTTGGGGTGTAAAAGAGCTCCCAGTACCCCATCCAGCAGGTATCGAGCGGGGTTTCTCCGCCGTCGGTCGCCTGGTGCAGGTTTCTGGGCCTGCTGGGTTTTGTCGTGTTTCCGTTGACCCTGTCTGGGGGCTGCCTGCTCTGTTTCTCTGCCTTTGCAGAAGGGAGTTGCTATTTACATGTTGCATGTTGCAGTGGTGCCTGTTGCTGCTGCTGCACGTGTGTATTGGTACCGTGTTTTACGGTGGCGTGTCCTTGTTCCTGTGTCCGGTTGTGGTGTGGCACTTTGCTGCTGTTTTGTGCCAGGGGATTGCATAGGGGTTTTCTGTCCCTGCCTGATTGTCCTCCCCTGGTTGTTTTCCTGGGGTTTTTGTGCTTCTGCTCTTTCTTCCTGCCTCCTCTGCAGCAGGGGTGTTCTGCGAGTGTTCTTGGGCGTTTTTCAGCCTGTGTCCTGTGATGTGCTTCTTTGTCTAGGTCTATTGCAGTTGTTCGTACCCCTTGGTTCGGGTACTGTTCTGGCGGCGACCCTTCCGCCTTCTTTGGTTTCCTAGCTTGCCCTGCCGGTTGATTTTTTTTTTTTTGGGGGGTCTTGCGATGTCTCGCGTCAAACCCGTCGTTTCTGAACTCCTGGTGGGCTTGCATGCTTTGGGGAGTTTTTCTGTTCAGCAGACGTTCCATCTCCTTGTGCCGCCTGGGTTTCGGTGGTCGCGCCCGAGATCTTCCCACGGCTCCGCCTTTTCCTGAGCTTGGAGGGGCCTTGTCGGGGCTGCTTATGTTCTGCCTCGCGGTCTCGCCTCCGGTTGGTGGTCGGGTGGCTGCGTGGTAGGTGTCCCACCTGCGTGCTTCTCTTGGCGGCAGTATGGGGTATTTTGGCGGTCCTTCCTTTTCCTGTCCCTTCTTAGGTGGTTACTCTTGTTAGCTTGGTTTACTCTCGGCTTGGTTTTCTGGTGGGGGTTGGGGGCCGTCGTCTTGCCACATACTGTCGCCTCTTTTAGTGCGGCGCTGGCGGAGCCGCTTCAGCTTGCTTTCGGTCTTAGTGTTGCTTCTGCACCGTTAGTAAGCTGTCTTGTGCGTCGTTTCACCTCCGGCCTGTTTGTGCGCCGCTTGCACCATCCTGGTCTCTGGTCAGCGTGCTCTGTCTTCTCCTCGGTTGGTAGTGCCCCCTCGGTTCCGGTGTGTTTTTTCGTCGGCTCTTTCCTTTTAACCTTTGCCTCTGGGGGTCGAGTCGCTGAGTTTTCTTGCTCCTTCGGTTTTAGTGTTTTAGTTGTTCGGTGGCAGCAGTCTCCATCTTTTCTGGAGCGGGGTGGAGCTGCTGCGTTCTGGAGGGGTCCAGGGTTTGTTGGTGCTTCGTTGGTTGGGCCGGGGGTGTGTCGTGTTTTGTGTTCAGTGGCGGCCCTCCGCTGTTGTTTGCGTGCCACGGCGTTTGGGTCCGGAGCGCGTTTTGCGTTGATCCGGTTCTGTTCTTCCCGGTTCGTGGGTGATGGTGTCCCGGGTGGTCAGCCGTGTTCTTGCGGCTAAGCTGCCTGTGTTTTTCCCTCATGCCTGTGGCGTTCGTGGCTTCGCTGCTCTCACTGCCGTCTGGGCGACGTGGCCTTGCAGTCTTTCGGGAATGAATTTTTGGTGTTCGTGCGGGGGCCTTGCTGCTCGTTGTTCTCGTGTTGTTCCCGGGACTTTTCGGGGCTGTGGCGCCTTGGGTTGGCGTTTGCTGCCGGTTGTCTCGCTTCCGTGGGGGGTGCGTGGTGTCCGCCTCCCGGTTCTGTCCCTTTGACCTTCCTCTGTGGGTAGTTTGCTCCGGGGAGCCGACGGGGCTCCCCCCAGAAAACCAGTGTTGAATGTAATGAAACGCCATTTTCTGGGTGAGACCCGGAGGCTCCCCGGCAACCCTCCCTCCCTCCGGTCGGCGTTTTTTTCGTGTGTTTTGACATCCAGCCTCAGAACTGATGGGTGGATAGCTGGCGTGGGAGGTCTGGGGCTCCCCCTTCCCCCTCCCGGGGAGGGGGGAGCTGCGCAGACAGCGGCGCGGTGATGTATGACGTCATACTAGTTTCCTTGTTTTCTGTTGAAGAGTTCTATCCACTAGTTCGGCTTTAGGTAGCAATTTTCACCAGAATAGGGGTTTGTTTTGGAATGCTTACCTTTCTGGATGCTTGACCCGGTCGATGGCAGACATAGAATGCTTCCTACCACACGGGGGTTTCTATAGGCCATTGCTCCCCTTGCCTCTCTGAGGGGGCCAGGTTCTGGCCGTGGTCCCCGGTAGTCCCTAGAACTCCATACACATGACTGATGCCAAAGTCTGACATTAGCATATCAGCCGGTAAACCTCCGGGGAGCCGACGGGTCTCACCCAGAAAATGGCGTTTCATTACATTCAACGCTGTTTTTTTTAGTACTGTAGTGCTACAATTATTGGCTATTCAAAATACAGTAAATGTATAAACAGTAATAATCCATAATAATGGTTTAGTGTATAATGCAGCACAATGTTCTTTTGCCCAGGATATTAAGAAGAGAGAGGAATGCACAGTCTGTTATTGTAATTACGATGCAGCACTGAGACAGAAGTGCACTCTACCCTGTGGCCATGTATTCTGTGGACAGTGTATTGAAAATGCTGTCAAGAACGATCAGCTTTCCTGCCCTCGCTGCCATGCCCAGCACAGTGCCACAGCTGCTATTCAGTTTCTGATAAACTGTGGGGGCGCCTTTGTTGGCAAAGGTAGAGGTGCTCGTCCCACTACAGCAAGAAAAATGTCGGCTAAACGTTGTCAAGACCGTATGAGAGGCATAAGCAAGAAGCTGCGGTCTATGGCCCAGGAACAGAAGAAAAACATCAACAGCCTCATCACAGTTTGTGAAGAGGCACTGTCCCAGCTGGTTGAGTACCGAGGCCAGCTTGGGGACTGGAAGACTCACCACCTACACCTCCAGGACAGACTCTATGGTCTGTTAGAGCAGAACAAGACAGCAATAGAGCTTCTGGAAAAAGAAGATTCAACTGTGGTGTGTATGACATCACAAGGACAGGAAGGAAAGCAGCATCTCCAGACAATGTTGGGGAGCCTGGACACAGCGAGCATGATGCAGGATAACGCAACCATAGCAAAGGCAGATCAGTTTAATGTGGAAGTTAAAGAGTGGCTCCAGAAGTGCAAGAAACTCTTCCCAGATGTGAAGACGGTACACACCTCCATGAAGGTACGATGATGGTTTTCTTATTGACGCAAAACTGCGTGTATTAATGCACTCGGTCATTTTTTGGTTTGAAAAGGAATATTTATGGCACTTTTGTAGTAAAATTTATTCATTGTGAAAATTGATGATTGATGTATGCTCTCTTAACCTGCTAACTTATTGTGCTTGAATATATCAACAGGAAGGGTCAATAGTATGATGTTTGCTACAATCTCTACATATTACTTAACACAATGTCTGGTAACTCCTTCACTCCCTAGTTACTCTCGGTCTCTCATAGTCCCATGCTGTCACTCAACACCTGGTAACTCCCTCACTCCCTAGTTACTCTCAGCCTCTCATAGTCCCATGCTGTCACTCAACACCTGGTAACTCCTTCACTCCCTAGTTACTCTCAGCCTCTCATAGTCCCATGCTGTCACTCAACACCTGGTAACTCCTTCACTCCCTAGTTACTCTCAGCCTCTCATAGTCCCATGCTGTCACTCAACACCTGGTAACTCCTTCACTCCCTAGTTACTCTCAGCCTCTCATAGTCCCATGCTGTCACTCAACACCTGGTAACTCCTTCACTCCCTAGTTACTCTCAGCCTCTCATAGTCCCATGCTGTCATTCAACACCTGGTAACTCCCTCACTCCCTAGTTACTCTCAGCCTCTCATAGTCCCATGCTGTCACTCAACACCTGGTAACTCCCTCACTTTCAAGTCAATATCATGAAAATGCAGGACAATATCTGCTATTTATTGGTACCGTTGCATTGGTACCATAAATTTTCCCAATGTCAGGGACATTGAGCCTGTTAGTCTATGCCAGGGATGCCGGTGGGAGGCACACGTGCACAAGCTTGCAGGGCCTAGGCCAGGGATGGCGGTGGGAGGCACACGTGCACAAGCTTGCAGGGCCTAGGCCAGGGATGCCGGTGGGAGGCACACGTGCACAAGCTTGCAGGGCCTAGGCCAGGGATGCCGGTGGGAGGCACACGTGCACAAGCTTGCAGGGCCTAGGCCAGGGATGCCGGTGGGAGGCACACGTGCACAAGCTTGCAGGGCCTATGCCAGGGATGCCGGTGGGAGGCACGCGTGCACAAGCTTGCAGGGCCTATGCCAGGGATGCCGGTGGGAGGCACGCGTGCACAAGCTTGCAGGGCCTAGGCCAGGGATGCCGGTGGGAGGCACACGTGCACAAGCTTGCAGGGCCTAGGCCAGGGATGCTGAAGGCCGGCACGCCTGCACAAGCTCGCAGGGCTTATGCCAGGGATGCAGGAGGGAAGCACACGTGCACAAGCTTGCAGGGCTTAGGCCAGGGATGCTAGAGAGGGCACATGTGCACAAGCTTGCAGGGCCTAGGCCAGGGATGCCGGAGGGAAGCACACGTGCACAAGCTTGCAGGGCTTAGGCCAGGGATGCTAGAGAGTGGCACATGTGCACAAGCTTGCAGGGCTTATGCCAGGGATGCCGGAGGGAAGCACACGTGCACAAGCTTGCAGGGCCTAGGCCAGGGATGCTAGAGAGCGGCACATGTGCACAAGACTGCAGGGCCTAGGCCAGGGATGCTGGAGAGTGGCAGACGTGCACAAGCTTGCAAGGCCTATGCCAGGGATGCTGGAGGGCGGCACGCATGCACAAGCTTGCAGTGCCACTCCGCACATTGTTTAAACGCCGGTCTGGTAAACATTAGTCACATTATTGTGACTCATCGCCTGCCTTCCATAATATTTCCCAAGCCTATAACATCACATGACATTTTGAAATAAAGGAGGAAACAAACATTCCAGGCCTTCATATGCAAATTACTAGCATCATTGATTCAATTATTGAGCAATTTTCTTTGAGATTTACTAAGTTCAGACCCTTTCACCAGTGCACTGCTCTGCCTGCAAATATGGCAAATCCCTGGTGCGCAGAAAAAAAAAATTTCACAAAAACTTTTCGCCCTTCTGATATTGTTAAATACCCTTCCCTGATCACATATATGTTGAAATAAAATAAATATTTTACGTTCTTTGGCCGCAGCGGGGTCCAGAGAATGGCATGTGACGTCACGGTTTGGTGTTCGCCCGTGGCGTAGACTCCCAGAGCCAGTCGCACGCCAGATTCAACATGCGCGAGTTGCCACAAATATTTTTTGTTCATTTTTTGTACAATTACAAAATGCATTTATTTTGTTTTTTCTTGCCAGTCCTATGTATATTGAACACGTTCACAATATTCTGGCAGTAGAACATCCGTACTATTCCAAGACACAGTGTTACATGTACAGTATCACAAATGTGTCCACAAACATTGATCATATTTCCAATATTTTATGTTCATATTTGTACATTTATAATATATTTACACAGTGTACACTATTACACACTATATACACTCCCTATCAACACACTTAGAACTTCGTAAGAGTGGTGATATTCAGAGAAGCAGTCGACGGGGCATAGGAGAACTTTGCACTCAACGCAATAGGTGCAGATGCATCTTTGCTTGCGCTCCCTATGTTGTGTGTTTTTGCAGACAACGCAGGTATGTTTACCCTTATCCTGTGATTCTCTGCCTGGCATATAACCAAGCTTGTGTACACCGAGCCTCTCGTTACCCCTGAGTCTGACAGAAACTGCGTGTGGCATTGTTGCTGGCACCCCACGCATTGCAACAGAGCCCTCCTTCCCAAACGTCATGAGAAGTTGACACTAGAGTAACACTGAATGTACGTATTGGGGGGGCTCTTGCCTGATTTCACGAGATACATATTGAAACAGTTAAACACTGCAACATCAATGATGTGAAAAAAAAAATTTCTTCGTCCACTTCAGATTTTTGCATGCACTCGACAGTACCAAGTATCATGTCACATTTATCAACTAGCCACAAGTTTACGTTGTAGTCAATGACACAATCAGGTTTATATATTGAGAACCGTGTTGGAAAATGCACTTTGCCACTGTCCAACATGGCACCGGTGTGAATAGTTATCAACATGTTCACCTCATATCTGTCCCTCTAGCACACTGATATGATTTTGTCACACTTTCGCAGCTGGCAATCACCCACTGCAGTACTGATGCCAAACACTGGCATTTCCCTCCTGTGGGCCTTGACAGTGCCACATACGCCAGTGTTGTGGTCACACGACATCCTCCGAAAAGACAGTACGTTTTAATACTAAATGTAATAAGTACAATCCTGACTATCAGCATAGTACATAAATACAATTAATCACCAGCATTGCACCAAAATATTGTGATTATTAGAGTTTACCTGAAAATCTTTATAGAAAACCACGACCTAACCTAACCTTGGAAATGTAGGAGGACAAGCATGTAAATAGCATTTATTGCTTCTTAACTACAATTAGAACTTAACCTATAGCTATATTGATATTACAATTTTATAAAACTAATAAAACAAAACTAAAATCTTTCAATAAATTATATAGTAACTCAGGATATTTTCAAACTTTGTATAAAATCTGTATTGTTTAACCCTTAACCATTCTGCTACTAAGGGGTCCTGAGGAGATTTACACCCCTGTGCACAAGAAAAAAAAATTCAGAAAAATGATTTCGTCTTCTAAAAATATTAATATGTGTTTCCCTGAGCACGGGAAAAAAAAATCGTAGGTGACATATTTTGGGCGCAATAGACCGAGGAAGTTTGCCAAAAAGTGAGCGTTGACAGAGCGGTCGTCAGAGCCGGTCAGCGTCACCCGAGCTGACAGGTGGGAGTTGCCACAAAGATGATATCACCTAATTATTTCAATGTCACCGATTGATTTTTTCTTAGTTTTTATGCAGTAATATTATTCAGTAGTGTGTATTGTGATATATTTATGTAATAAAAGGGGGTAAATAATCGCTATACTCAAAAGTATGGTGTGCATATTAGTGATTCAATTATTATGTTCATAAAACAATAAACAAAGTTTTGCTGTTATTACACTCTATACACAGGTTATATATAAGTATCTACATGTTTCCTTCACCATAACGAACCATTAAGTTGGTATTGTGAGTCGAAAAGCAACAAGGAGTGACCGCCACACACCAGCCAGCCACTCGTTGCCACTCCCCCAACAACGTCTCACTCGCCCACTTTCTCCTCCCACCATCTTGTGTTATATTTTATTCACAATATACAGACGTTATATATAAGTATCTATATGTTTTGTTCACCACAACTGTACAACTAAGCTGATATAGTTAGTTCAGGCACTAAGAGTCGTCGCTATACACAGTCAGCTGGCGACTCCCTCACTCATTCAAGGTCACACGCACTAAACTTTCTTCCCCAACAATACTGTTTGCAGTGTTATTACACTATATACACATATTATATATAAGTATCTACATGTTGTATGCACCATAACTGTACACCTAAGCTTGTAGTGCGCCCAAAGAGCATAATGGCCACCCTCTAAACAGCTAGACAAATCGTGCAGACGACGTCACCTCCGTCACCCAAATGGCTCATCCCAACATAATCCTTTTGCTGTTATTACACTAATACACACATTATATATAAGTATCTACATTTGTGTTCACCATAGAAAACCACTGAGCTGGTATGGTGAATGCAGACAATAACAGATGGCCACACAGTCAGTAAACGATGTTGTCTCCCTCCGTCCCTCAGCATCACTCCTCCCACAGCGCTAATTATTCCAACAATCCTGCTGTTATCACAATCCTGGTCATTTTTATCACAGTCATGGGTCATCTGTAATATTGCCATCACTAAATAATAGCAGTTATATATTTATTTTAACATTTTTCGGTGATGCTGTGATCACAAACTGAACAGCAATGCTGTTCGCTCCTGCTGCGTGCACCAGCCTTGGTTGCTCCAACAGTACTGTGGCTCTCACACCTGGGAATATTACCCACAATTTTTTTTTTAAATTGCATCTGTTTACAAGAGCCCTGAGGAAGCTAATGTGAACCCCGTGTAGCCGCGGGCCATTTGAATCGTGCCTGGCACCCTTTGGCATATATATATGCCATGAGCACC